AACCGTTCTCCCCTTCCCCCCCCCCCCCCCCCTCCCGCTCTAGTGTCCCGTGGGAGCACAGCAAGGCCAAAGAACGACCTTACTTCTCCTAGGGACGCGTTTCAGCGGTCAGAGCCGGCAGGCTTGGTTTCAGGACTCCTGGGTTCTATTCCCAGCGTTGGCAGGGAGTGTTGTGTAGTGGTTAGAGCAAAGGACTAGAGGGGTCAGGAGTCCAGGGTTCCCTTCTCCCGCGCTGCCGCTCGCTCGTGTGGCCTGTGGGTCTCCGCTGGAAAACAGGGATAACGTTTGAAGCAGGTCAGGCTTTTCTGGTTGGGGAAAACCTTCGACTTGCGAGCTGGTTCCATCAGCATCCACCATGGGTGCCAAATGGTGTCGCTGCGGTTTGTTAGGCAAAGGATCTTGGGAAGGCGAAGGGAAGGACTCAGGGTTAAGGAAATGAGGAATCGCGTTGGGGGCTCGCTCAAAGACCGGATGCTCATATGAAACAAAAGACAGGACTATGCAGCACTTTAAAGACTAACAAGATGGTTTATTAGGTGACGAGCTTTCGTGGGTGCTCATATGATACTGAGGCTTTGTCAGACATGGGTGCAGGCTGTCCCCTGACACCTCCCCAAGCTCCCCCACCACAGTGGGCACACGCTGTCCCGGTTTTTCACAGGTGCTGCCCGGAGGTTGCGTCTCCCGTGGGCAGAAGTGGCAAGTGTCTGTCAGGATGAGGGTCCCTTTGCGTCGCTGCTTCTGGAGCTCCGTGGCGATGTTCTTTGCATCCTCCTCAGCTGCGATTCCTTCCTCCCGCCTCCGGCTGGGAGAGAACCGCGCGCCCGCTGTCAAAGGCGAAACTGCCTGACGAGCGTGTCGGGGAATGAATAAAAGGAGCCCATCGAGAGAAGCTTGTGCGATCAGCACGCAGCTCCTTCCCTCAGGGAGATGCCGCAGTTCGAACAAGGATGTGTCCGTTCAGACACCCAAACGGCGTGTTATGCCGCGAGTTACAGATGGGGAAACTGAGGCGAGGGGCAGGGAAGCACATGCAGGAAGCAAGTGGCAAAGATAGGAACCCGCTAGACCAGGAGCAGGGAACCTCTTTAGGTCTGGGGGCCGCTGACCCACAGAAAAACCAGTCGGGAGCAGCTCACAAGTGAGAAGCAAAACAAAAAAACAAACCTGCAGTGAGAACATTCCCCTCACACACCAGAGCTTGGGGGCCCCAAGCTAATCGATTTTGTGTGCCAACACGGGCTCCCCAGTGTTGGGGGGGACACGACCCTGAGCTTTTGGGGCCAGATCCAGACAAGCCAGCGGCCACATCCCCCACGCATTAACTTTCTGGCTGCTGGTCCTGTGCTTTGCAATCCTCCCTCGTCCTTCAGCTAGTCCCCTGAAAATATCTCTAAATGAGACCCATTTTTCTTGTAAGTCACATTAACTGCTCCCAGCTAGAGGTTCTTGCTGATGAGAAAAGGAGACATTGAGGAGAGTCGGTAGCTTGGATGCGAAGGGGATTGTAGGTATCCAAGTGGCTAAACTTCCTGAGAAGTCAGGTAGTTACTGGCAATGCGGCAGGGGTGTTTTCTCTGCAGAGCGCGAAGCTTCTGTATTTTTCAGAGCCCTTGCACAGACCTGCATGCTGGCTTGGCTCTTAGGCCGATGGCTCTTCTAACTCAGTGCTTTTTGGCCAGGAATGTATGTGCCCCTAGAGGAGCCCAGACCCCTTCCAAGGTGTCTTGCCTTTTGATCTGGGTGTTTGCTGCGTTTACAACAAGCTCCTGAAAAGCGCCAGCAAAGTCCGTCCGCACTGCAATTTCATACAGACACCGACTGGTTTATGCTCAGACTATGCCCAGAAATGTTAGTACGGTATTTTGGCGTTGATGGATTTATCTTGTAATCACACGGTGAAAACGAGAGAGAGGCCAATTTCCCAGCCGTAGGGGCTGGGACACTGGTGTGTTTGCTTACCAAAAATCAGATGAGCACTTAACGGAGGTGAAACTTGGAGGGCACCCAGGATGAATCCAACTCCTGAAAGCGTCTAGTAGTCTGGAAAGTTTGAGAGCCGCCTAAGTGACTCTTGATTAGTCGTGTGCTACTAAGTCACTTAGGTTGTTACCTTTTATCTCCCGAAGAACTTCAGAGACCTCCCTGGCAGCTGTAACAAGCAGCAATTCAGGTGCCCTGAGACCATTGATCAGGGAGGAGAATGAGCCTCCCTCGCTGCCGGCGAGCTGGCGTTCGAAAGTTCTATGCCAGGACTACTCAACTTTGGAAGCCCCGGGGCTGCAATGATACTCACAGCGCATGCCGAGGGCTGCAATTGAAGTGTGGTTGCATAAACATGCAAATATATGCAAATATATGCAAATAACTTTTCACACTGACGGGCATGAATACAAAGATTAAGCCAACCTCTCCGCCCCAAACGTGGCCAGTGAGAGCCAGTCAACCTCTCAGGCTCTGCCCGCAAGGCTAAGCAGCCAGCATTTCCCACAAGGCCCGGCGCTCCTGGCACCTCCTCCCTGGGGGCTAGAAAAACCGACATCCTGTACCCGTCTGTTCTGCCAGCCCGTCCGCTTGCGTCTTTCAGTGCTCGCCCTGCCTGGGAGATGCCTCCCCATTGTGGAGCGTGGTCGCAGTGGAGGCCACGTTCAAAGATCCCACCTGTGGGCCCCAAACAGCCCACGGATCGTGTGCTGAGTAGCCCTGTTTTAGGCAGTATTAACCCTGCCCAGCACAGGTCCCCATCTAGTTTTGTCTCCCTCGCACGCTGGCTCAGTCGCAGACCCCTGGGGGCGTGCGATCCACCTCTCCCCCGTCCGCAGATCCGCGTGGTCAGCAACAAGATGATCCGCGTCATCCAGGTGGAGAACGAGGAGAAGCTGAAGGAGCTGGAGGAATTCAACGTGTGGAACTTCCTCGCCTCCTTCCTGAAAGAGAAGCTGAACGACACCTACATCGCTGTGGACCTTTACACTGAGAAAACCTGCCTGAAAGTCGAGCTCCTGGAGCAACCCACCACCTACAGCGTCGTCCTCTTCCGGTGTAAGCTGTGCTGGGGGTCAGGCTGCCCCGGCCCGCTTGGGGCTGGAGGGGCGATTCCTCCGTCTTAGTGGAGCACGCGCTAGCTGCTCACCTTGCCTGGCTACTGCCTGGCCCGGCTTGGTTGCCCGTCCTATGCTGGGTCCCATGCTGGTTAGAAGAACCCAGCGAGTCTTGCGGGGTGTCGGGGCGAGTCGCCCTTCGGGCGGACGGGATCTCTGGTAGGTGCTCAGGACAGTCGGTGGAACCAAACTGCAGGGAGCTTGGTCCAGAAGGGGCTCCTGATTGGTGCGGGGGAGACGCCCCTCTCCCAATGTGGGCTGCATAAGCCTTGGAGAGAAGCGGGGGGCACCCGTCTGGTTCCTCCTGCCCCAGGTCAGTGTGGTACCACGGTAGATCCGTGGTCTGAGATTCACCAGGGTCAGAGCAGAGCCTGGACCTAGGGTCCGTTTGCCCCGAGACGGGGTCAGGGGTCTGCCTCTACGTCGTGCTGGACGGCAGGGCCCTGTCGCAGTCGTGTAAACCAGGTTTCTCTGATGCCGTCTTCTCTCTTCTAGGGTTTGACCCCAAGCTCTTCGTGGTTTCCTTCCTGGGCCTGCTCCTGTTCTTCTGCGGGGATTTGCTTAGCAGGTGGGCTGCCTCGCCGCTGCCCCTGCTAGACAGCCAGACCTCTGCGCGGTGCTGCTCCTGCCGTCCTGTGTGCTTGACCTCCCCGTGTGTGCCAACGTGCTGCTGTGCCCAGGGGCGTTCCCGAGCACTGCCCGCACCAGCCTCGCCCGTCCCTCAAGAGCTTTGTAAACCCAGGGCTTGTAACATCCGTAGCTGGCCGGCCTCCTCCTAGCTGTCCCGGCCGTTAAATCTGGGCGGTCGCTCGCCAGGCAGCGGATCCCACTTGGCTCGGGTCTGTAGCTCCGTAGAGCTTTGCTCTGTTCCCAAGATGCAGCACGTGGCACCTTAGCTCCCTTCTCAGCTCTTGCGGTGGCGGAAGGCGCGGTGGCTACGCTTTGCCGGGGGCGCCTCTCAGACTCGCCCCTGGTCTCCGCAGGAGCCAGCTCTTCTACTACTCAGCTGGGATAAGCGTCGGCATGCTGGCCTCACTGCTCATCCTCATCTACGTGATGGCCAAGGTGATGCCCAAGGTGAGGCTGCGGTTCTGGCGCCAGGCAACCGGGGTGTTACTGGGGTGGCATGGAGCACTCGGCACCTGGCCGATGTGCTAAAACATGGTTCTGATGCGCTGGGGGAAACTCGTCTGGGCCTTTCGGTGGCAGGGCCGCTGGGTCCGAGGTCTGGCCGCTGCTCTGAGCAAGGTAGAAGGTGGTGAAAACGTCACCCTCGTTCGGTGGCACGGCTAGCGCTGAAAGCCTGCTGTCTCGGCGCGGAGGCATGTCCGGAGAGCTGGCGGCTGTTTGAGGAGGGCGAGGGTCCGCCTGGCTCGTGTGGTACAGAAGCACCCAGCTGAGATCAGGCCCCCCGGGTGCTGTGTAGCGAGTGACGGCTGCCGTCTGCCATGGCAGGGGTAGGAGGGGTCGAGGAGTGGAGTGACGTGCTCCAGGTTGGGGAACAGAACCCAGCCCGGTACCACGGGGCCTGTCTAGCAGCTGGAACATCAGACAGCGGCAGGTCGGCTCCAGCAGAGGGCAGGGCGGCGCTACCGGCAGAGCAAGTGGCGGCCTGTTTGCTGGACCCCGATGGACACCCCTGTCTTGTTCCCACCTCTCCCCTTGTGCCCTAGAAAAGCCCCATCTACTTCATCCTGGTGGGCGGCTGGTCCTTCTCCCTCTACCTCATCCAGCTGGTTTTCCGAAACTTACAAGAGATCTGCAAGTCGTATTGGCAATATCTCCTGGGTGAGTCCCGGTGCTTGTAGGGGAGAGGCTGGGACTTCTTTGCGTTTGGTCAGCTGTCTGCGCCCGCTTCCAGGAGAGGGGGTCTGGGAGGCCGGGGAGTCCTGGGGCCTGCCTGAGCAGCACCTCCGCTCAGCCGAGCATAGCCACCTAAGCTGAGCTCAACAGTCCCCGTCCAAAGGGGGTTTAGAGCCGGGGGGCAAGACGTGGGCTGGATCCAGCCTCTCAAGCCTTTAAATCTGGCCCATGGTCCAGTTGCTGGGCCCCTCCAGCAAGGAGCAGCTCCCGGCTGCTCAAAGTAGCTGGATGCTCCCTGTGCCTCGTGTCGGGGGTGGGGGGAGGGGAAGGCTTTGCGTGCCGCCCCCACACAGACTCTCAGCTCCCGTTGGCCTCCGTCGAAGTGCAGCCCTTGACCACGTGCCAAACTCTTGGAGTGGCCCCCGAGCAAAAGTGCTTGCCCAGCTCGGATTTCGCGTCTCTTCCCTGGGAAGGGGCCCGGGATTGTAGCAACGCCCGTGGCACGGGGCCGGGAAAGGAGCAGCTGCCTTCAACCTCTTGGAGTGGCCCCCGAGCAAAAGTGCTTGCCCAGCTCGGATTTCGCGTCTCTTCCCTGGGAAGGGGCCCGGGATTGTAGCAACGCCCGTGGCACGGGGCCGGGAAAGGAGCAGCTGCCTTGCCGGCGGGGCTGGG